CAAAACACACAACACACGTCAAAATAGAGTTCAAACAACACACATCAAAATAGAGTTCAAACAAAACACACAACACACGTCAAAATAGAGTTCAAACAACACACATCAAAATAGAGTTCAAACAAAACACACAACACACGTCAAAATAGAGTTCAAACAACACACATCAAAATAGAGTTCAAACAAAACACACAACACACGTCAAAATAGAGTTCAAACAACACACATCAAAATAGAGTTCAAACAAAACACACAACACACGTCAAAATAGAGTTCAAACAACACACATCAAAATAGAGTTCAAACAAAACACACAACACACGTCAAAATAGAGTTCAAACAACACACATCAAAATAGAGTTCAAACAACACACATCAAAATAGAGTTCAAACAAAACACACAACACACGTCAAAATAGAGTTCAAACAACACACATCAAAATAGAGTTCAAACAACACACATCAAAATAGAGTTCAAACAAAACACACAACACACGTCAAAATAGAGTTCAAACAACACACATCAAAATAGAGTTCAAACAACACACATCAAAATAGAGTTCAAACAAAACACACAACACACGTCAAAATAGAGTTCAAACAACACACATCAAAATAGAGTTCAAACAACACACATCAAAATAGAGTTCAAACAAAACACACATCAAAATAGAGTATAAACAACACACATCAAAATAGAGTTCAAACAAAACACACAACACACGTCAAAAACAACACATCAAAATAGAGTTCAAACAAAACACACAACACACGTCAAAATAGAGTTAAAAACACACACACATCAAAATAGAGTTCAAACAAAACACACATCAAAATAGAGTATAAACAACACACATCAAAATAGAGTTCAAACAAAACACACAACACACGTCAAAAACAACACATCAAAATAGAGTTCAAACAAAACACACAACACGTCAAAATAGAGTTAAAACAAAATGCACATCAAAATAGAGTACAAACAACACACATCAAAATAGAGTTCAAACAAAACACACAACACACGTCAAAAACAACACATCAAAATAGAGTTCAAACAAAACACACAACACGTCAAAATAGAGTTCAAACAAAACACACAACACATATCAAAATAGAGTACAAACAACACATGTCAAAATAGAGTTCAAACAAAACACACATCAAAATAGAGTATAAACAACACACATCAAAATAGAGTTCAAACAAAACACACAACACACATCAAAAATAGAGTTCAAACAAAACAGAGAAGAGAGAAAAGATGAAAGTGGAAAATGGAAAAGAAACA